TGGTAGCACTTGCCAGTTCCTCTGAGGCACCAAGTGGTTGAAGTGACAAACACACTAACATCCAGAGTGGTTTTCAGCCTGCACTCAGCTTTGAAGATTCTTCTGTTTCAAGCCTAAGCGTATGTGAATGACCACCACTGCTGCTGCTGCTTCCAGATGTATCAACTAGTCTAATAAAAGGTGTGACCTCTCAACAAATCTGTGTTTCTGCACCTCTCCCTGCCCCAGCAGGATGCATTCTGTGTAGTTTCTTCCCAGAGGAATCACTTCAAACCAAAGGTTGTCAGTGCTTGCCTCTGCCGGTGCCCACCTTTTGGAGGTTTATGGTCTGGTGTCCCAGAGTTAATTCCCTGTAGAAGTGCTCAGCTTTTCCTGGCTCCAGGTGAGCTTTGCCTTCCTCACTGCTTTGGGGGGTTGGGGCCGAAAGAACTCAGCCATCCATTGGCAAAGAGGGAAGAGGCCAACAGAAGAGACAAGAAAAGGTTAGTGTGGCTTTTGTGCACAATATGAAAAGCAAGTCAATACCATTGTAGGGGCATTGGAGGGTACTCAAAGCAATCAGCCAGGGGCTATTGTGTTCCTTTAATCTACATGTGTGTTTCCTAAGAACTCTATTAGTGAAGATGAATGAACTGTGCAATGTTCCTAATTTCTGCTAATTTGGCGCTGGGGTTTCATGGCACTGCAACCGGCACAAAACGTGCCTGGCCCTCCAGAAGCCCTGGGCAAACTTGGGAATGGGCTTTGCTTGTTGTGGCAAAAGAAGATAGCAAAGTGAGCCGGAGGAGCTCTGCTCTGACAGTCAGTCCCATAAAGGGCACCAGGTCCTGGCACAGGTGCTGCTTTTAGGCACCTGTCAAAATTGTCAAATACAGCGACAAGATGCATTATTTTTGGCTATAACGCGAAAGTAGAGTGAAAAAACATTCCACCCCCACAGCAGGGCACACATCCCACACAGTGCAGGAGAGAGCTTTCTCCCTAATAGAGGAGGCTGCTCCTTATTACAGTTGTATTCACTGTAGGGAACTGCATTTGTCACTGGAGCATCCTTCGTGAGGGCAGTGGAGCTGTCGAGTGAGGAACCAACTCCCTTCGTCACAGTCTGTAAAACCCCGGGACACCCTCCCTGCCGCTGCAGCAGAGCAGGGAGCAGCCCCAGCCCCTCCAACTCCTTTCCCTCTTGCCATGCTTCAGGCACAGACCGTGGTGTCACCACTCTGCTCTGGGGGGGGGCAGGAAGTCTAACAGATCCTCTGGTAATCATAGACTAACGCAGAGACGTTAGGATGGCAAAGAAGGGTAACTGAATATCCCCCTTTGGGTCTAATGTACAGGCTGTCAGCTAAATCCTCTGCTGTCACACGGTCCCGTGGGACATATGTCATACTTGTATGAAGCCTCAGGAATTGATACTGTGGTGCATCACAGCTTCACAAAGACCATTTACAGGGGCAAACAAGATGAAATATGAGGATATTCATTAGGGAATGGAATAAGAAGGATTTGTTACTTGCTGGTCCAGAAGATAGCCTCCATTCCATCACCTTTTTTAGCTTTTGCAATGTGTTCTTATAACAGTTACTGCTGAAATTCTGTTTGGAAGCTAACAAAAATGCTCAAGATGGACAACCTCTGACCTGCAGCTGGCTGCTGCACCCCCTTCCTATGCATGCATGGTGACAACTGCATGGGAATAGTTTTGATCCTGTTGGTGCTGCTGAGACATACATATGGGACGTGGCTTCACACAATGAAATGAGCACCATAAAATGCCACAGATCCTTGCTCCCTTTCCTCCTGCCTTTTCCTTATGTCAAGCTGAAATAACTACTTCCAAGTTGAAGTCACTCTGCAGGGAGGTCCTCACTCTCCAGACCAGTGATGTGCAGCAGGGAGCAATTCCCTGGAAAATAACACAGGACTTTCAAGGTCAGACAGCAAACTGACAAGGGGCAAGGAAAAGGGGGAAATGGTGACCTCGAGGGAACCTGCACCCCCTGCACTTTGTATACTCCGTGTCACCAACAGATTGTTAACAACTGAAAGAACTGGTTTTGCCTTTTTTCTCCCCAGAAGCTCCTCAGTGTGCAGTGTAAGAACCTTCTTGAAAGCACAGGGTGTGAAAAAGCTGCTGCCTCCTCCCATCACTGGCATCACTCACACCTTGACAGTCGCCTCTTGCTTGCTTTCTGGTGAGATTTGTATCTGCCCTGGGAGAGCTGGTTGTGTTTTCTCCACCATTTCCAAGGTGCTCTGTGGCAGGTTGGACTCACGGGGAGCGCAGCACAGAGCTTGAGCCTCCACGGGCTGTGCTGCCCCACAGCCTGGCTGTGGGTACAGGGTGGGCCATGGCTGCTTGGGGAGCAGGGCAGCCTTTGCTGAGTGGGGAGCAGCACGAGGCTGGGCTCCCCACGCTCAGCCATCCCTCTGGAGGGAGGGAGTGCAGGTTCATGCTATAAGGCTATATTAATGCAATCCTTCTTTACTTGTTTTCCAATTAGCCTAATTGAATTCGGATTGCTTAAAAGTGGGCACCAGAGACATTTATCCTGATGGGATGACGGCCTTGAGCTCCAGCGATCCTATTAACTGTAAGAACCCAAATCCCAGGTAGGGTCCGTCCAGCAGTAGCTCCCATGTGACCTAACACTTTAATCTGCTGTTCTTCCGTGCAGCACACACAGAGACACACACACATAGAGACGTGTACACCTACATGCACATGTGTGCATAGGTGCGTGCACATATGTACACATGAATTTGCCCCCTCCCCTCCCAGCAGCAGGTGAGCGCTGTCAGGGCTGGGAGCAGCCCTCGCTGTGCATGGGGAGGGCCCCATCCCGCAGCCGCCCCCCAGCTCCGTTCACCTCTGCCGGCCCCGGCAGGCTCTTGGAACCTCATTAATCGCTTGTTGGCTGATTCTGGCTGTACTTTCTTCTCTGACCCTTGAATCCGTGAACATGCTGGTCCTGAATGTGCTGACAAATGTAATCGGCTCCTTCAAACCTCCAGGTGCTTCCAGGAAGATTTCCAGGATATCCCAGGCACATTTTAATTCAAAGGTTGAAAGCCTCAGGCTTGTTTTGTGGGTACGATAATTCAGTCTGTGAAGTAACAGAACAGTACGGAGACACCTACCTCGCAGATTTATACAAATAGAGAGGGAAGTGGATTGATCCTCACAAAGCAAAGGCTGGTTGAACTGAGCTGGTGACAATTCTACCTGCTTTCTGTAATGACCTCCTGAAAGAGCCCACTTGTCTTTCCACATAGATAATTAAATTGTCTGATAACATGTGAGAGCAGGACCCCAAGAGACAGAAAGTGGCTCAGAAGCCTTGGTGGGTTTAGGCAGCGTTTGAAACTGAGTTAGCATTTGCTAGCCCTGATGCTTGATGAACATGCTGAACACAGGACTTCTCAACTGAAGAAATGATATGTTGCAATGTGAGAGCCACTGACATCCCTCTCTAAATGGACCAGGGCATCCTCTGGAAAAAGTGAGGAAGGAAAACTTAGAATCATAGAATCATAGAATAGTTAGGGTTGGAAAGGACCTTAAGATCATCTAGTTCCAAGCCCCCTGCCATGAGCAGGGACACCACACACTAAAAACTTGGCAACTTCTGTGTTTCTTAAGTAAGAAAGAAGTGAGTAAGAAGAAAAGGCACATTTCATGAGACTGCACTGGGGAAAATATTTGATAAAGGTTTTCAAACAGGTCTATGCAGCTTATATTTGAACAGTAATTGCTGAAAGAGCTTTCCCAAGATGATCTCTTGCACCCAAGAACCCCCCTACACAGAGCTGTCCTATGGAGGACAGGACCAATGCTTCAAAAAGGGAGGAAAAGGTAAAAAGACAGAAATAAAGGAAGGCAGGCAGGAGGCAGAAAAAGAGAGAAAGAAAAGAGACAAACCATACTTAGTGCATTAATTCATTTAAAATGAACATTTTTACTTGACTGGGTAGAGGAAGAGAGAAAGAGACTTACAAACCTGTAGGAAGGTGCTACATGTGCTCATTTGCAACCTTCATTCACAGGCTAGCTGTTGAAGAACGTACAGAGTCCTTAATTTACCAGGCTCAGCAATAGTGTTGTGTACAGCATCCATGTGCACGGGCTGTACAGCTCTGGGGTGGGTTGTCATACACGGTGACTATGGCTGTGCAAGCACAGACTGACTGATACTCCTGTGAGCTCGTTTTCACTGTAGCCTCAACAAGTGATTGGCTGGTACCCACGCCCCAGAATTCGGCACAGAGCAGCCAAGCTGGGGGCCTCTGCTGTCTCTTGGTGTTTGACGGGCATTTGAAGCTAAGAGACATTAAAGCAGCCTGGAGAAGTCTCTGTTGCTGCCAGACCATGCTTTGTGGATAGCTATCAGGCCTTGGTTCCCTGCAAGTCCCTACTCAGTTTCATACAGTGACATTTTTATCCCGACCTGTAGTTACACGCTTCACTTTTCCCTTTTGCTGTACTGAGAACAGAGATGGTCAGAACCATGTTTTAAAGGAGTTTCTGCAGAAAAGTCCACATTTGAATACTGGGTTTGTGTCAAAATGTTTGAAATGTACATGGCTTTATTAGAAAGAGATGAATTTCTTTCTGAAAGCACTATTAAATGAGTGGCTGCCTGTATGTTATGCACCAGAAGCACATTTTCTCTCAATCCACATATAACAGCATTTTGATCACTTTGAAAACATGGAGGAAGGCACATTTTTTCCCCAGTATCAGCTTTCTTGAAGCTATTTTGTTCTAGGGGGAAAAATGTTCTGTTAAGAAGCGAGGCTCAGTTCTAACTTCACACTGGGCAGTCACAACACGTCATTTCCCCCCAACTCCCCTTGGGGTTTTAAGTCTCTCTCTTCTCTTTTCTATATTTACATTTAATGCTATAGAGCTAAGTGAACTCCTCAGCCTGCACTCACTCTGCAGCCCAGCCCCTCTGAGACAAGGCTGAAGTCACAAACCTTGGACCTCGGTGTCTCTTCTACATCACAGAACATTTCTGCTCTGCTGCCTGTTTGATTTCAGTGAAGGTGGCTTGTGCTTTTTCTTTGATCGCATCCATGTCCATATTCTGGATGTTCTGCAGCTGTCCCAGGATAGAGTCCTTGTCCTCTTCCTCCACTTGATCTTCTGCCACCATCTTCTGAAGGTCTTCTGGCAAACCCACGTCATCTCCAGCCATCTGTATTTGATTCTCATCCAATTCACTCTGGTACAAAAAGCAGAAAATAAGAACAGCACATGAGAGCCTTTCTGCTGCCCCAGGATCTATCACTGAGGCTCTTTTGGTCACTTATTTGGGGTTTTCATTTGTTTTAAGGAGAACCAAAACATAGGCGCAGATTTTTCAGTCAAAGTTGTGAATTCAGGGGCTCAGGAACCCCCCCCCCAAGTGCTAAGAGTTTTCAGTTCTCTCTCTCTGAAGGGTTTCAGTAGTTGTTCATAGGTTTCAGCAGTTGTCAAAAGAAAGCCCTCAGTGTCACTTGCCATTTTCAAAATCTTTGCCATATGTGTTAACCGTGGTAACATGCTGATACTGCAGGAAAGCCACAAGTTATTTGCATCCACCAAAGACACGCCACAATAGACTGTCATCTGTTGTGTGATTCAGTCGATGAAGCAGGAGCTTTAGAATAACTGTGTGGCTATCATTTCTCTATTCCTTTGTTGGTGGATGTTTTTTAGGTATCAGCACTAAACTGAAGCCTTCCTGAAGAAAGATGCATTAAACTTAGGAAAGAATTACCGGAAACAAAAGTCTCCATCTTCCCCAAATTGTGCCTAAGTCTTTGGTTGGTATCCCTGAGCTGTGAAGAAGAGCAGGGGCTGCTGGCACATAATGTGCTGGGGTAAGTGGGGTAACAGGAGGACTTAGACAACAAAAGAAAGGATGGAGGTTGGGTGTGAGTCTCAGAAAGCAAAAGGAGACAGGAGAAGGAACTGGATAAGCAATTAGAAGGGCTGAGCTGCAGCAAGTGCTACACACACTCGCTTCCTGCCTGCCCACTGAAACGCTCCATCAGTGGGGCTGTGTCAGTTCTTAAACAATGGTGATTTTGTTCACATTTTATGGTGGATTCTGCTGGATCTAGAGCTCAGAAGAACAGGATATTTTGACACAGTTCACACATCAAAGATAAGCATTAATGCCTCATTACATCTCCAAAATGAAGCATGACAGCAGCAAAGGCCTGATATGAATAAGCAGCAATGCTATCAGCAGGAGGTGTTTTTGAGAGTGAGCGAGGTCTTGGGTTTGCATGAATGAATGAATGCAAGAATGAATGGGAGGATGTATATGAGCAATGTCTGTGTAGTTCAGGCCCTAGCAAGACAGGCAGACTGGGATGCTTGACTGCATAGCCACTATGTGACGTGTATTTACACAGCTTTATATTTGCAATAGCTGTACTGATTAACCTCATTTCTCCTCATATCTGTTAGGAAAACATGGAGAAGCGTATCGTGATAGTTACTACTACATGGCTAAAATGAGTAGGGATGTCTCTTGACTCCTTTGGGTGAGGCTTGCTCCTAGTAGATCTGTGGGAGTAGGAACAATATCCCAATTGGCAGAAGTGTTCTTTACACAGTGCACACAAAGTCAGGCTAATGCTGCAAGTGCAAATACGCAGTGAGTCTGCAAGCTCCAAGCTCTCACTTCTGAAAGTCAGGACCAGAAATGTGGTGCTGCAAAGTCATTGCTTAAGACAGCAGCTTGCAATCAGAGTGTGAGCAGGGTGTGCAGATCCTGACTGGCCCAGCTGGACACATGTAGGGACTGTTCCTTGCTGAAAACCAGACAGGGGTTGGACAGTGATAGAGGCACTACCCTGCATCAGAACACACTCAGCTTGGACTACAAAGGGCACCCAGAATAGGCAAGGCTCATAGACAGGACAGCTGGGGCTGTGGGCTCTAACCAACCCATACAGAAAACCTCTCTGGACCCTGCCAGACCTGTGCTGGACTGGATGGCTTCCCTCCTGATGACTCCAATCCTCAGAGGCTCCAGGTCCCTGAAAATGTTCAGCAATGCTTTTAGGATCTCTGAGAACACAGAAGCAACGTCTATTCTAGTAAATTAAATATGCCTGGCACTGGTCTCTTGCCCCAAGGCCAGCTGGCCTGGAACAACCCACTGCAATGCCATTGAGCTCTCTTGCCCTACCAAACAGGGTGGTCCCCTCCAACTGCCCATTGGGAATGCCTGTCCTAACTCCCAGACTGGCCCTGGGAACCGCCTGGGAGAGCGCCCAGGCCAAAACTGGGTCAGACACTAGTCTGACAATTCAACAGCATAGGTGATAGAGCCCTAGTGACTGCTAATATTCCTTGACCCTGATTATGCATCTGGAGTAGTCAGACTCAGATCCATCTAGTTAGAGGTGCAATGTAACACAGACTTCTTTATACATACATGATACACACGTGTAAAGAGAAAACACAGTCTATAATCTAAATATAGCCTAAATCTGTCTGTATGAAGGCTGATCGTAAACAGAAGAGATCAAAGTTCACAGACTAATCCACAGGGGAACCAAATGGTTTTCAGCATCACTGTGTGATGAACTGCTTTCCTTATGTCTAACTTACCCTGTCATAAGATTTACTTATGCCTTTGTGCAAAGATCCTTAGGTAGGTGAATCCAGATCTGATTCTGTGATTCATTATCTATAATGTTCCAGTTACGTACAAAATCAGAGTTCATCTTCCCTTGACCTGCAAGCGGGAACTTTGGTAAGTACTGCAGCAGCCCCACGCTGACATGTGCCATCCAAGGCCTGCAGGTACCTCACAGGTAGGAACCAGCAGCCTTGTCTCCCACCCCCAAATACCCTCTTGTGCCATCCCTACCCAGGGATCACAGTTTGGAGCACAGGAAGGAGTGCAGAAGCTGCTTGACACCCCAGCTGTCAGGGCCTCATAGGCACCTTCCCACATAGGAACAGGAGCAATCCTGTTCCCACTGCTCCTGACACACACAGTGATTCCAGTTTTCCACAGTGGATCCACAGCTGTTTCACTCTGATCTAAAAAACATTTAGATCAGCAAAAGAATTCAGCACTTGCTGCAGCTCAGCCCTTCTAATTGCTTATCCAGTTCCTTCTCCTGTCTCCTTTTGCTTTCTGAGACTCACACCCAACCTTCATCCTGTCTCCTTTTGCTTTCTGAGACTTACACCCAACCTTCATCCTGTCTTTTGTTGTCTAAGTCCTCCTGTTACCCCACTTACCAGCACATTATGTGCCAGCAGGCCCTGCTCTTCTTCAAGCTTAGCAAATGCTTGTTTTCAGATGCTTATCTAAAGCCTGTATGCACAGAAGAGCTGCTCCTGAGCCAAGTTTCTGTTTCTGCCTGGTCAATGTGCATCCCCCGCAGCACAGCTAGAGCTTATGCAAGGGCTGCATAGGAGGGAAAAAACCCTTTAAGTCTGGAATGGTGCTATTCATTAAATCAAGCCTTGACAATATTCCCATCATAACACAATAGACCAAGAGATTACATGACTACACGTCCCTTTCACGGCAAGAACTTTACTTTTTAATGTCTACAGCAGCACTTGTTATTGAAAAGACACCTGATTGCATCCGAATACTCTTTTGCTCTAAACATCAGTGAATGAGAAACATCCTGCTGTTCAGTAACAGAATCTCACAGAGCAGTGCCCACACAAGTGCTTTGACTAGGGAAGGCATCCACCTGCATGGAGCAGATGACACAGTCCCTTCCTGAGGTGCTAGAAATTCATATATCACAACACAACCCCCAGCACTCAGGCAGAAGAACAGCACTGATGTGGCAATACTCTGACAGGGAATATTGACATTTGAGGTGACATGGTGTATACAAGTGCAGATCAGTGATGTGAAAGGGGTGGTGGGGCCCATGGTCAATATGCATGCTATGAGACTGCCATACTGCAGATGAGGTCTTTGGACAGGCCTGTGGTCAGATGTTCCTTTCCAGGCACCATCAACTCAAATCCCTGTGTTTAGACCTTGCAGAAAGTACCTGATTACTGGAGATCAGTTCAGGAAACACTACGTGAAGAAGAGAGTTTGATGTGGGGTTTTTTTTAATTATAATATTTATCTATGTATTTATTTTATTTGAATGTTTTGCATGGAGGCAAAGTACTGAATACTCTGGAGATGAAAAAGTTGTCCATAGATTTAATGTCTCATGGCTAGAAACATCTTTCTGATGACAAACCTAAGTTGACAATTCTGTTAATAGGATTAGGTTCATTAAGGGACTGCTTTCCCTTATAAATCTGGCCCAGATAGCACGGAGCTTTAGATTTTGCACTGAAAAAGGGGCCCTGCTTAGTCTTGAATTTCATGCTTGCATTTACAATGTGTGCTAGTGATTGATACTGGTAATAATCAGGGTTTCTATCCCCTACTAAGCTACCTGAAATGACTTTCATTTTTCAAAATAATTAATGCATTATCACACATCTGAGAGCATTTTGCTGCCGGAATGTATCAGAGTTGAATTTTTATCAGGGATAATAATTTCATTGTCTTCTTGATATAACATGTGTTTTCACAAGGGCTGATGAAAAGCAAGCAGACATTCACTCAAGAAGCTCTATATAGGTAGATACAAATGCCAAAAAGCATATCCTGCAAAATTTACTTGCTACCACTGCACATCAGCAAAGCTGAGTAGATGCTTAATATCTTCTTTGCTGGCTGAGAGCTCCTGTCCTATCTTGGAGGCAAGCCTTCTATTATTGTTACTGCAATCTGGCCCCCAAAGTGCGCCATGTACCAAAGTCAAGATCCTGTGCAGATGGGAGAGATCACCACTGCATGCTCTTGGGTGCTGTGAGGTAGCAGTGTGCTTGTTGGAGGTCACCAAGGGTGACTGCAGAGACCTAAACACCATCTCAGAACTGGAAGAAGCGCTACAGATGGGAGACTTTCAAAATCAGAGACACCCAAGCTCCCCTGACTTGGAGTTGAGAGCTGGGCACCAAGTTGTCCTGAAGCCTTTGAAACTACTGCTGTTCAGGAGCTGGCTCAGCACATGCCTCCTAAAGGAAAACAAAGCCTAAAGATATTTTACTACTCAGCTGCTAATGAAAATGCTGGTGTTTAGAGGTTTAGGCCTGCAATCCAATCAACCACTTCAAATCTGGTACTTTTTTTTTCCCCCATAATTAATCTTTCTGTAATTAAACTCACCCTGAAGATACGCTTTCCTCTTTCTTGTCACTATGCTGAGCACCATGGCCTAGAACAAATGGCATATTGCAACTGATGAATACAGAGACGCATACCACATAATCCGCCCTTGCTCCTTCTACCCCTATATATGAAGGGCACTTAGGGACAGGACAAGAGGGAATGGCTTTCAGATGCAAGAGGGGAGATTGAGATGAGCTCTCAGTCAGAAGTTCTTCCCTGTGTGGGGGGTGAGGCGCTGGCACAGGGTGCCCAGAGAAGCTGTGTCTGCCCCATCCCTGGCAGTGTTCAAGGCCAGGCTGGATGGGGCTTGGAGCAACCTGGGCTAGTGGAAGGTGTCCCTTCACTTTTTAAGATGACAAACTGTGCCTTCAGCTAATTTGAAAAGTCAAATGTCCTGAGAGAGCATATTGATCTGAAACGAGCTGTTATATAGAACTGTGGTCACTTCAAATTTGCTTATGAAAGCTTTGTTCAACACTGACGCAGGCAGAGGGTGAGCGCTGGCAGGCTTCTCCACAGCATTTTTTTCCCTTGCCCCCCCTCTCAGTACCAGCCTCAAATCATTCTGCCATCCTTTTTAAAACAGCACTTCTCTTTCTTGCAGTCACTTTGCACGGGTTTGGTTGCAAAAAAACCCACAATTGCAAAGTTAGAGAAAAGACATTTTTCACCCCTGACTGTAAGGCCTCCCCAGTGGTTAAATATAGGTGGTACAACTTTAAGTCGCAAGGTTGATTCACTTCTCACGCAAACTGTAACTGGCCTCTCGAGGGTTTAAGCAAATGATGAAGAGTGGTGCAATTTGAGGAACGTGGCGCTAGAGGGCCTTTGCCGGCTCAGGGTTAGAAACAGCATCAAACACACTGCGCAGACGACCTGAATTGTAATTCGTATTTACAGCACCTAATCACTTTCCGAGCCCAGGTGACTTTATCAGTTTCTAATTGCTTGACTGCTGCGTCCTGCCTTTCCGGGAAAACCCAGGGTGCACAGATCAGACCATCAGATCACTGCCTGCACAGGGAACAGCAACCAGAGGACACCAGGTAGCAGCTTTTATTTGCTCAAATAAGGCATTTGCTCTAATGATAAATTTTCAGCGAGTCCCTGAAGTCATATTTGACATAATTCTAAGAAAAAGACATCTTAACGAAGCTGGAAAAATAAATCTCTTTAGAAATCTTTCATAAGCAATGAAGGAGTGACCAGGCTAAAAGCAGTTTAGTAGCATTTAAACCACCACCATTCTCAGATTAGTTATTCCTGGGAGAACTCACATGACCCTTTAACAATCTATGAGTAAGGAGCCTACGCAACCCTGAGCCTCCAAAGACTTAGCAGAAATAAGCTTTTTTCACTGCCTGCACACAGACTGAAGTTCAGGGGTGGATGCAACCCAGGTTTTAGAAGACAGAAGGCTCTCTCTGGTATCACAGGCTATGGGAACACATGGTTTACCTATCTGTGTCAGCGTGGAAGGAAGCAGCTCTTAAACTTTCCCCCTTTCCCGGTAAAGTCAACAGCAGCAACTGCAGAACTTGTGTCATGGTGCAAATAGTGCAGAGTAACATAGCATATGGGGCTAAACCAAAGGAACATGAGAGATCAGAAGATGAAATTAATAAATATTATGTACATAATAGAATAATTTGGAAAGCCCATGAAACAAAGATCCTGCTCCCCTCTCAGAAAGGTCTGAACTATATTATACTCTGGAACTACACAGATCTCAGAGAACTACGTAGAACTCTGCTTAAGACCGCACTGATTCTAGCAAAGACAACCCTCCAACCTGCAGTTCTTTGCTTTCTAGGAAACTTTAGTGCCTTCTGGTTCATTCATTTCATCTATGTAGGACTCTACAGTGCCTTTCTGTTAGATTCACCTGCTGAGCAGAGAAAAACAGCTCTAAAAGAAACAATCGCTAAGGAAAACCATGGCTCTGGCCTCCTCCATTTCTGTACTGAACTGCAGTGGGGATCCCACCAGTGAAGGCAGTTTGTCATTTTCAGAACTGTGCTGGCAATCAGTTTGTTGCCAAAGTTGGCCACTCAACTAGGTGAGGTCAGGAACTACAGGCTTACCTTTGGGAGTCTGTACTTTTCTCTCAGATGAACCCTCAGACAGGCTCGCTCTGCTTTTTTCTGTGCAAATGCTGCATCTCTTTCCATCCTGAAAGTCAGAAAAAATGTTTCAAGATACCAATAGAGTCTTTTACACTGAACCAGCTGCTTGGCTGCATAAAGCTATACACAGGAGTTATTCCCAAAGTTATGGATCTTGTCCAAAGGCATAGAAGGAAAAATTACTGGTATCAATAAAGTGATGTTAAGGGGTGAGAATTCCCATCCTCCTGCTTGTTCTCAGAATAGTTCCCTTGATTCTTGTGAAGAAGATAAACCAATTGTATTTGCTGTTACTGCTCACTGTAACAATGAGCAACTCCAGAAAGCAGAACAGGGAAGTTATGCTTATTCCTTGCTTATTCCACTGGGGCACTTACAGAGACACAGCCGCCTGCCAAGGCTCCTATTCTACAAACGGGATGTTCTCAGTATACCGCCATACACACAACAGCAGAATAGTCTTTCTGGGTCAGACCAAAAGTTTATCTATCCGAGAGTCCCATCTCCACAGGAGATGGTAATGGAAACTTAGAGAAAGAATTTAAGAGGCCAAGCATCAAAACTGCCTGGCTTCCAAAAATCAGTGGTATAGGGTACTGGAGCTGGATGTTGTCTCTCCATCATTGTCTTTAATAGCTCAGGATGGCCTCTGTCACCTATGACTTTTCCTGGTCTTTTCTGCATCCATGTATTGTTTCAGAACATTAACTGGAAGCCATGTTAAACTTCTTTCAGCCACTCACTGATCTCAACCTTCCTCTTCATGTTGCCCAATTCTCCCCTAGAGGAGCCATTAGCAGCCATAATCAGTTCTGGGATATGTTCCCACAGGGCAGTGCATGTGCAGCATTACTGTACATCCCTTCAGGTGTCCTTTGAGGCTGAGGGGCAGGAGGAGATTTTCTGCTCAGGTAGATTGGAGCTTTTAACTGGTCCTGGCATCGTGGGAAGACCTGGCAAAACTTGCTCAGCCAATCTCCCGATATTGCCTGGCCTAATCTTACACCTTTTTGTTCTGGAGGATCTAACCATTCCCTGGAACATGAAGCTTTGTAGGAACAGGAAATGGGTATAAGAGTAGTTGCATTACAGCCTGTGATGTATAGCACAAACTGGTGGTCACCTCGTGCTTAAACTCTTGTGATGCTGGAAGCAACTTCTATGCAACCATGCTGGAGGCTGCCAGCACAAGCCCCCATCTGTTTCTGCATATGACATTTTCCTGAGACACAGTAATCTGTACTTCTTTGTGCGTTTAATCGCAAAAAAACCCCAAACAAAACCCAAGCCAACTCAAAACCTGAGAAGAACCCGAAGCCAGGATGGCCAACTATGACGCCAGCAAGGTACTTCTCCGATCTCCACTTCCATGGAGTTGGAAATTGGGTAAAATCCAGAGTGCCCTGGAACAGATGCTCTGCCTGTGGCACCAATTCCTCAGCACAGGTCAGTGTGTAACACAACCACACTTGAAAACCTTACAGAAGTAATCCTTTTCCCAAGTATTTTCCCTATCCCAGGAACAGTTTTGATTCTCGGTTTCAATCAAGCATCTTCCCGTTGGCAGATGGGTTCTTTCCTTTTAAATATCCCTTGACAAAAAGCACAGCAAAACATTCTGCATTCTGTTCCAAAGCAAATGATACTATTCAGGGGTTTATGACAGAATGGGCTGCTGCTAAATACAGACCTGGATACCTCAATGCCGTCAGTCATTAACCTTTCACCTATAATCATCTTACATGAAGGATTTACACAACCATTATGTAATTGACCATTACAGGAACAGATGCATTTGAGATTTAAAAGTCAAGCGTTTTATTTATAATTATGTATGATTTGAACTCCTACCTGTCAAGTCCTCTATTTTACTTCTGGTTTGATATTTAAACACAGCAAGTGGTAAAAATTGTAGTTACAGACAAAAGAATGAAATTTATCAGTTGAAAAGTTCTGATTTAGTAGCTTGTAAAAAAAAAAAAAAAAACCCAAAAAAAAAAAACAAACCCTAAAAAATGCAACTACAAAGAATAACCATCTTCAAACTTTTATCGAGATAAATATCACCCGTTTAATGCAGCACTCACTGCTTTTTCCATATCTGCCATAGTAGATGTGGACAAATAAAAGATTGAGTATTGAAAGGGTACTGAAAGCGTATCCACACTGAGTTCTAGGCGAACAAATCATACACATCTTAGAATTAACTCCTGCACAACAGCTTGTACCTATGGTAAAGTAACATCAACTAGGAATGTATCCAGCCTATCAAGGTGTGGAGATGGCAGGAAAGCCAAGGAGAGAGTGGGGGGGGACAGGGGACACGGACGGACAGATGACACACATAGTATTTTAGCATTTCCAGTTGGTGAACTTTTATTTTGGAAAGTCTCTTTCGCAAAGATCCATCTGCTTTAAGTAAAAAGAAAGAGTGCTGAATGTTTGGCTTTTTCTTGGGTTATTTTTATCTGCACAAAGTTACCAACAATCAGCCCCATACTGATAATAAGGGAACAGGTACTCACTTCTCCTCAACCATTTGCTTTTGATATTCCTCATACTCCTCTCTGGTCATTCCTGCAGCTGCTGCTGGATCAGAAGGAGTGCTTTCTTCTTTGCTTTCTTCCCCTCCACCTCCAAGTCCCAAATTCTTTACCTGGTTGCTCAACATACTTTTCATTAGAAAAGCCATCTTCAAGGAAAAAGGAGCTATAAGCAAACAACTACAAGAAAGCCAAACGAAACCAAAACCGTTCTCAAAACCAGCAACTATAAGCAAGAGAGTTTCTACAGCCCCATCAGCTCTTCAAGGGCACAATGCTAGTGAAACGTGAATGCCAAAACCAGTTTGTCAGCCATAATCTGGATTAAAGAGTGAACTCCTTAATATCTAGAGGCAGATGGTTCAGATTACTCCAAAAAAAACCAAAACATTAGATGCAGCTACCTACTTTTTATATTAATACCTTAAGCTAATTGTACCCATGCACACACACAATTCAATTATAGTGTGCAACAGCATTTTGACTTCTTAAATCTCGAAACTCTCACTTTCAGAGATGAAAACATTCCCTGGAACGCAAGAGATCCGAATTAGAAACCTGATTGACTAAATGCCCATAGTGAAATTGTGAATTTCAGGCTATGGAGCCAAAACCCCTTTTGGTTATACACTGGAATTCCTCATTAAGCAAAACCCCCAATACTTTTTATTGATTAACGTTTTATGACATTGGACCAAACGTACATGGAATGATTTTTCTTCATCCACTTTTCGTATGGTTGATTTGCCTCACAGATGAATGGGGCAGTACTGCTAGGGTTACTTGATTTTCAAGGAAGTAATCACAAGAAAACCAAATCGCATCTTCCTACTTTTCATTCCTTAGTATTAATTTCAACTCCTCTAGGTCGAGGCTGTCTCCATCTAGGTCACCACTTTGCACAGAATACCTAGTGTTTTTAATCTCGACTGTCGGTAAAGGAGAAATTAATCTCACTGATTCTGCATGCTTTGCTAGCTTTTGGCTGTGGATTGCTTCTGTAGGTCTTCATCTTTCAACCTTTTATTCACATCATTAGCCTCACCATGTCTATTCAGGTGAAGATTTTCAGGATCTGCTATTGAGACTACAGGCTATTTTGGGAAAGAAAATCATCTGATAGGCCTCAAAAGTTCCTGGGTTTGGGTTTTGAGCACTTATTCTGCTATGGCTGACTGCACATGCCTTAATGAAACACTAATTTTGATTATCTAAATGGTTCTCCCAGCACTCATAATTTCACCGAGAGCTGGGAGGATTCCCGTTTGCCTAAAGCCTTAATCTGTATTAGAGCCTTTTAATTAAAGCAGACCTCTTACTGTTAACAAAGGAAAAAACAAAAACAAACAAACAAAAAAAAGGCAGGACATTAAATAATCCTGGATTATTAATGATTAAACAAGAAACTTAAATTTTTAAATAGAGTATCACTCAGAAGCACAAATTCCAAATCACAAAACTATTTTGCTGGCACTTGAGAAGTTCTGCAAACAGGCCTGATCCAGCATCTCTTTCAGGACAAGGACAGTCTTTGGAGGAGCACTCAGACTGCTGAGCAGTAGGGGCAATCCCATGACCCAGGACAAGTCCACAAGAGCCCCGCTCTGCTACGCAGCCTAATTTAAAAGGAAGAAGTGAAAATAAAGGGCTGAGTTAAATACAAGAGGGGCTTGGCCAAGAGCAAGTCCCTGAAAAAAAGCGATTGCTAGTTCCCAAACTTCAGCCTGACTAGAATAAGCCATCGGCCCCACACTGCTCAGAACACAGTGGATCTCGAGCAGGAGACAGATAATCCTAAGGGAAAGGAGAAGGTGCTTGGTCAATTCAGGTATCTCTAGAAATAGATGGTGGATAGAGAAAGAGGGCACATCACAACTCTGGAAAAGAAGTTTCAATCTTGCTGACCTTTCCATCTACTGCTCACAACAGGAACTGGCAACGTGGACATCAGGGGCTGGAAGATCAACTCCTCACCCTGCCTCAGCCCCATAGCCAAGCTCTGTCTTACACAAGGACATGGCACAAGAGGGGCCATGAAATACTGCATGGACCACATACAGATCACAAAGAGGTTTTCAGCAGCTTGCCAAAATCATTGAACAGGTTGAAGTAATATACAGGCATGGCTTATGCACTGATCCTAAAATGTATGAGTTCATTAACAGTATACTGGGCATCACACAAAAACATGCTACAAGAGAAGCTTAAGATCAGATAAATGTAGCTTTTGCTTGTTAGCATTTCCTTTGTGCTTTTACAGCCACTCCATTAAATGCTGGAATGACGTCACACAATGTCACTACTTAGTGCCAAATACCTCGAGTCACTTGCAGTGTTTAGCTCATCTTTATTTCAAGTTCTTCTAACTAGAACCAGGAGCACCAGTGTGTCTGTACTGCACACCTTGCAAATACAACATGCAGCACTTGATTCCGCTATAGGCTGGCAAGTACCCAAACTCCCAGCCTTTTCTAGAGACTGTGTTCCCAAAACACGATCACAGCATACAACTCCAACCACGAAATTCAAAAGCATCCAAGTGTTCTTTGAAAGGACCAAGACTCCACCCCTCCAGCTTCATCCCTCTAGAAGAGGTTGTCACCCTTTATGTAAATTGGAACATTACACATTTGCACAGAGAGAAATAGGTGGTTTAGGGCTTTCTCTGCTTGAATAGGTTCAATTAAAGATTCCTCTCCTCCACCTGTTAGAGAAATTACTTCTCACTGGGAGAAAATGATACTTACTCTTCCTGTGGGAGGTTACCACAGACATGGTTTACTGGGCAGAACAGTTAAAACCCAAACCAAAACACAAAAAGCAAGCAAGGAGATACACCATCCTGGTGACAGCAGGTTGGGGAATCTGAAGAATGAACTTCAGCAATACAGGCAATCTTCAGCTCAAAAATGAGGTACTTGATATACTCAAACCAGGCAGCAAGGAACTCTACTGGCTGTTAAGAGACTTAAACGTAAAGCAGGATGTCAACTTCTAACTCTAAGCATCTGATCCTGAAGGCAAGTTTGATACTCTTAACACAAGCTGTAGAGCGAATCTTACTTTTAAGTTCGAGCCACTCTTGCACTAGACCGCAACATAGAGGATATAATCCCTTTGTGCAGAATGAACTCTGGATTCAGTGTATCCTTGTAATCAGTGCCAGTCATCTGTCCCTTCAATGTAGGCAGAGCCTCAGCCTCTGAATGCTGTTAATTCTCCAGCATCAGGTAGGACTGAACCCAGATCTCAAAGCATTCAAACTCTCTGAACAGAAAGTAAAGAATGCTTCAGATACACTTGCTTGGATTTCATGGACATACAGCAAATTAAAAGAAAAAAAAAACCTTACTAAAAATATGCATCTTTATTCAAATAATGTTATCTCTGAACTCCAAGTGTCAATTTACATTAGTCAGAAACAAACATATGACAATGTCAGCTGTCTGAATTAGAAAAAAACCCAACAGTAGACAGTATTCGGTGTTACAGTAATTGATGCATTGATAAATGTCAAATTTTCTTCAAACAGGAAGTTAGGCAATTTACAAACCATATTGTGGGTTTTACTTTTGAAAGATTCAGGTGTGACCATGGATAATATACCCTGACCAGTACAATGAAATTCTCTTTTTACTGCCAACTATTTGCTACTTAGCATCCACACTTCAAGTAGTTATTAGAGTTGTTCTCCCCCATATTGTCAAACCAGATTCCAAGGTGTCTTCTCCTAGTCCTAAAATCTTACTTGATAAGAATCAAACATACTATTAGGGTTAAAAGAAACTTCTAGTAGCCAGCTGTAACAGGAGGCTACATTGACTGACAAACATTCTTAAAGTCCACACTTGTTGCTATCAGTTCAAGAACAGACAGGACAAAATTTGAGCTGGGCAACTGGGAGCTTTCCTTTGATCCAGTGAGTGACAAGGCAATTATGGAAGTTCCAAGGAGACAACTGTGAAATGAAGCACGAAGCAAAGTTATCAGTTTTTGGACGTTACATATTAGACCTTCTGCTCCCCAATACAAAAAGTTTCCTAGTTGCACATGGGAGATCTGTTGGATCAATCAGCAGCATAAACACGTGAGCTGAGCCTCATCCTGAAGAGGCAGTTATAGGCTGTCCCCCTAGACACCATCCCCAGCCTTCTCTTCTTTCTAAGACAAGACACAAAAGTATGTGCTGAACCAGCTTTAAAAGCAAAGTTCTATCTGGATAAATTCACAGTAACAAAAATACAAACTTCCTCCAATTGATCCATTAGAGCTGTTCCTCTTTGTCCCAGATCTATGCACCCACTTAGACATACAATTGCTAGCCTTTCTGAATAAAAAGCCTTGCAAAGCCTGTTTGAGAGAAGGAGCTCTCTTTAGATGTTGCACTGATGCAGGAAGGCTTGCAATTGAAAGGAACAACACTGTACGCTTTCAGAACTATTTATGAAAGTATATTAAGTTTAGTTACAAGAATAAGGGTTGTAATAGCTTAGACTCAAGGCACCTGTAAGTATTTGCTGGTGTTTAAAGTAAGGATTTACCCTATTTATCCAGCAAGATCAGCCTGAAGCAGTGGTTTCTGATTAGCACAGCAAAAACTTCTCAAATTTAGAAATGAATCTATAAAGCTATACCACATACAGCATACTACATATTGTAGATATGTAAATACGTGTAGGCAGTTTTATTGGTATAGCACAGACATCCACGTTTTGGACACAATAATTTAAGTAACAAAGTATGTTGCATAGATTTATCACTTCTCCAAACTGACAGGCACAATACTGAAGTGTTCTTCATTACAGCAAATTTGGCAGCATGTGTTGCACCCCAAGAGAGTAGAGTGTAGGAATGCAGTAGTAGTACGCTAGATTCCAGATAACTTATGCAGATTTAGAAAAACAGATTAATAATTAAAAGCAAAACATCCCAATGCATTTGTGTACTTTATAGGATTATAAAAAACCCAAAACAAACCCCCCTATTCTAGCTCTACACACAAACGCCCTAAGGACAACGTTATCACAGATATGTAAACAAGGCAAAATGAATTCATCTCACATTCCTAATTTGGGCTCTCTGCTTTGTTTCTTTCCTGAAGCAAATGTTCACCTGATAAGCAGTATCAAACACTCATGTTCAGTCTCAT